AGAAACACTTATTTGCTATGTAACCCTGGGCAAGTCACAGCCTCAGTTTCCTCATCTGTAAAATGGGGATACTATTTTCTGTATCCCAGGGTTGTTGTGAGGATCAAACGAGTTAAAATTTATAAAGCTCTCTGCAAACCTTAAAGTGTCATATGATCACTCACCTTTCTTAAATGACAAACATTAAGAATTTAAGAACCACTAAATAGAAAACTTTGTGGTCCCTTCACTGGGCTTTTTTCATGCAGGCAAGATACTGTCATTGTTTTAGTAGCTGAAAAGCTTTAGCAGTGCTGTAAACAGGACCCTAAAATGAGGGTCTTCTGCTCACTTCTGTTGCTAAATTGCAGAAGGAAACGAGAGAACCATTCAAATCCTTTCCTTCAACATTTAGTCATTTATTTGATCATGAAAAACTACTAAAGAGCCTATTAAGTGCACAGATCTGTGTGGTAGGCACAATGGGTAATATCCGGTCTGCTTCCAGGCAGCACCACCCCATCATAGGGTTAGGAACTAGACCTTCGATTTCACTGATATGGGGAACTTGGAGGTAAGGAAATACTACCAGCTCAAGGCACCACTTTCTCAGTTACTTATAGTCTTAGAGCCTCCCAGAGTATGAAGAAGTCAAGTGAATAACCCTGGGTCACACAGCCAGTATGTGTCAAGGGCAGGACTTGAACCCAGGGCTAGAAACTTCTCTGGGGCATCCTGGAGTCCAATGGCTGTGGGCAGGGCTTCAAGGCTATGCTCCATCTCCTATGCCCACTGCTTCTTTATCCCATCACATGAAATGTAAAACACATCTATGAGACTGGTCAGACTATCCTCATGTCGAGCGTTTTCAAGTGAAATTGAACATCTGTACTAAGTAATTTGGAGGGACTTGGCGGCCTTTGTCCTATGGCACAGACAATAATAACAAAGTCTCAATGCTCTCTACAATTTACAAGCTATCTCATCACTTATGGGGCTACTGTTGATGGAAGAGAGTGGAGGGAAGAAGAGAGGGGAAGAAGAATGCAAGGATGCATTCACCACTCCTGTTACTACATGACCCTTAAAGGTCTGACAGAGCTGGAGAGACCTCACTGATATTTAGTCCAACGCCTTCATTTTACAAATTAGGAAACTGAGGCCCAGGAAGGAGAAACAATATGGGTGAAGCTGTCACACTTAGTAAACAGAAGCTTATCCCCTTCAATATGGCCCAAGGTACCTGTGGGCAAATACTGATTTTTCTGGCCTTGCTGGTCTGAAAGTGGTGACAGTTGGTTTCATTTTCCTCAATTCAGGCATCTATCAGGAGGCCAAAGGGCTATGTCACTGGTTACCAACTTTTTAAAGGACAAGAGCTTTTCTGGAGGGATATTCTTTTTGAAGAGCTTCTTTACACACACACACACACACACACACACACACACACACACACACACACACACACGAGATTTGGCACCAGGGTTTACGTTAACCTCATCATTATTAGTTATTTTATTTACTTTGTGCAAAGGTAAGACATGTAGGTGTGCTAGACTGCCTAAATTCTGCCAGTGGGCAGGTGGCATGGATAGATATGATCTGAGGTCTGATTCATCTTTACAGAGAGTAGAACCTGTGCCACCAGCATGCTACCTGGAGGAGAGAGATAGGTAAGGTCTGGGACAACTGGGCAATCTCTTATCTCCAAGAAGGGCAATATTCTTGGTCTAGTTGTTCAGTTATTCAGTCTTTTTTCAGTCATGTAGGACTCTGTGCTACTATTCATGACTCCATCTGGGGTTGCCCTGGCAGAGGTCTTGGAGTGGTTTGCCAGTTCCTTCTCCAGCTCATTTTATAGATGGGTAAACTGAGGCAAACAGGGTTAAATGACTTGCCCAGGGTTATACAGCTAATAAGTGTCTGAGGCCAGATTTAAACTCAGGAAGATGAGTCTTCCTGGATCCAGATCTGGCACTCTATCTACTGTGCCAGCTAGCTGCCCAGTCTGGTCTCTAGGGGTATGATAGGTTCAGAACAAAAGCTGCTTCCCTCATTACTCTTTTGAGGGAGGATGGCTTGTTATCTTACAGTTAGGCGGTGCAGTGGATAAAGTGCTGGGCTTGGAGTCAGGAAGACTTGAGTTCAAATACAGCCTCAGACACTAGTTACTGTGTGACCTTGGGCAAGCCACTTAACCTCTGTTTGTCTCACTTTCCTTCTCTGTAAAATGGGATAACAAAGCATTCACCTACCAGGGCTGTTATGAGGATCAAATGAGATAATAATTGTAAAGTACTTAGCATAGGGTCTGGCACATTATAAACACTATATAAGTGTTAGCTATTTTTATTACTTACCACATCCCTCCTCCCCACCATACACTGGTTATACAAAAGACCATCAGAAACAGTGAGAGTGAGTAGATGCATTTATCCAAGCAAAACAGCAAAGATAAATTGGAGAAATTATACAGATGAGAATATGCCAAAAAATACACAAGAGTGAATGAGCTTTTCAGCTGGGAGCCAAATAAGATCTCAGCTCAAATGAGGAAAGAGAGAATCATTTCACAAAGAGGAGGTCCTCTTTCAGCAGTCTCTAGAATTGCAAGCAACAGGACGTAGATGGCTCCCATGTATGTCCACGTCTGAAGGGCTTCTAGTTCAGGGCTTCTTAAACTTTTTCCACTCTTGACCCCTTCAGTGCTTCTTAAACTGTCAGGTCTCAACCCATGTTGGGTCTCGACCCATCTAGTTCACCACTCAAAGTCTCTCTTCATCACCTGCCTGGAGGTCCTTCCTTTCTCCACATTTCCCCAAAGAGTGTCTGGAATGAACCCAAGGAAGTCCTTTATGGCAGGTCTACAGTGGCATGTTCAGCATTGTCTCAGCCATTCAGCTGCCCACTGTGGACAGCTACAGTCACTTTGAGCTTGCATAGAAGCTAGGTAAAAGCATGTAATAGAACACAGCAGAAAGATCAAATAATAATTTAGTGTTCCCAAAGATGGCTTAGGAACCGGAGGAAAGCCCCTGAGAAGCTCCTACAGCCTTTCCCTAGTCATTAGCACATTAGTAAAATGAGTTTATCAGATTAACTAATTGTCACCCATCTTGGAAGGCAGGGAGTACCTGACCCTGAAGGGATAAGTGGAGCAACCCAATGGGGGCTGTGGACTTTGACAGGGAGGGAGGGAGCACATTGCAGAGAGCACATTATAGATATGTGCTTAAGCTCTATTCTCTTTCAAGAATCATTTGCTCATAATATCTGCTCTTACTGAAGAGTCAGCATATAGGTGCAGACTCCTTCTTCCTTTATTTTGGGTAAAAAAGCCCCTGATATTTACTTCAAAAGGCATTTGGAGTTGGGCTGAAGGTTGTTCTGAGCTGTGAAGCTGGTGGGAGGGACCCAGAGCTAGGAATAAGGGTGTTAAGGTAGAAAGAAGTAGATAAGTGGGACAGATGAGTTTATGAGTTTGTGATGGGGCTGAATGGGTGGAAAAAAGATCAGACAATTACTTTGGCCTTCACCACCACCAGTGAGAACAACATATTTCACTCTAATGCTATTTCTCTTAGAACAGAATTAGTGACAGCAAGTGGGTTCATTTTACATTTACATACCAAAAGGGAACCCGACAAGGCTGTTTCAGGCCTGAGGCTTTCCATCAAATGGAGAGTATTTTTTTTTCCAGGAGAGCCAACATTATTTACCTCCTTGTATACAATACTTAACAGGTTGGATAAGGTTACAATCCCCACCTGCAGGAAGGTCACAGGAGTCTGGGGTTTGACACCATTCACTTATAGGTCACCCAACCTAAGCCCACCATTTGATTTACTCATGTATTTACTTTAATCCTTCAGGGTTGTATAGCAATAGAGGCATGTTTATTAGTCATTAATATACTTCTAGTCCTTCTTACTAATTAGTCTGATGTTACATATACAAAAGGAACTACAAAGACAGAGGCTGTGTCCCTAGGGAGTTTATAAATTAAGCCACAATGCTGATTCATATCCCCTACACTAATGGGTACACAGACCACAGATTAAAAAAACCACAATGAATCAATCATAGATGGCTACCCTAAAATAGATCTCTCTCTTTCTCTCTTGTTTTTTGATAGGAGACCAGGGCAAACAGGTCTTTGAGCTAGGCAGTGGGCAAAGTACTACGGATGCTTAGACCAGCTAAGGCAGGAGGAAAGCAGTCAGATTCTTCTCTCATCAGACTTGGGCTTTCTGGTACTATTTATAAATGTTATTGAGACACTTTCTGGGTCCTGATGTCCTGAGACATAACTACAGAATTATGAAGGCTAGAGGGGATGTCTATCATCAGCAATTAAAAAAGCAAGTACTTTATTTTATCAGTGCTGACTTTCTACACTTCCCAGGGGTTCTGCTGAAAATATCTCAGCCTAGCTAAAGTAACTAAGACACTAGCCTTCACATGCTCATCAGAATAAAAATAAAAATTATAGGCAGTACAATGCATAATGAGATACTCCAAAAACCTCACTTTTCCCTTAGTTACAAGCATAGCAATTAAAAAAAAACCCCAAACCATTAACTCTTCAGCTCTTCAGTGTATCATACAGCAAACCTTGGTATGGTTACTAAAAGAGAAAAATCTGCAATAGTAATGTTCTCAGACATTTGAAAACTCTAGTATATTATTCATGTGCTGCTTGGCTCTGGCCCTGAATACCGAAAATGGGGAAACCACTGCTTGAATTTGCAATTATCTGCACATTCATACATTGTTTTATAATCCTTCTTCATGAAATCATTTATAAGTCACCACATAGAAATACTACAAAGCAGTAACTACTTTAGTAAATAAACATACCTCTGTCCATGCTGTATCCTTCAGACCAAGGATAGGGGTGGTATGGCATACTAGAAAGGATACTAGACATGATATCAGGAAGATGGGTGAAGTCCCATCTTTGCACTTATTAGCTATATAAGTAAATCATCCAACAGAGGATCAAATGAAATATCTGTAAAGCACTTAGCACAATGCCTGGCACATAGTAGGTACCATATAAATGTTTATTCCTCTCCCCACCCCTTTATTCAGCCACTGGGAGCCTTGGTCTTCTTAGCTTTAATAAGCTAAAGAGGATACGACTATTCAACTCCAAGGCTTTTTTGTGAAGAAAGCCCTTAGTAACTTGCTAAATGTCTGCTATAGAAATGTGAATTATTAATGGCAAGGTTTTTTTTTTTATGAACTGCTTGGTTAATTTTGCCACATATACTCTGCTCGATGAAGCAGTCACTTATGTTGCAAATTCCAGTAAAAATAATCTCCTCTTAAAAGACTGGAATACTGGAAAAACTCCATAGCATTAATGGTAAGTGAGGGGGTGAAGAGATGGGCCCAGAACAAGAAAGAAGTTCTACCACCTTGATTTTAGTCCTGGTGGGCTGCTTGGTATGGAAGGGGATCCCTATCCTCTTCGGAGCTCACCAAACTTTCTCCAGACAGAGCCAAGGCTGCCCCTTGCTAGGCATTTACACTTGCCATGCAGACCCCTTGCTCTGCCACAGTGGTGGAGGGGTTTTGATTATGGATTATTTCTTCTGTCGCCAGAATCACAGGGTAGGCAAGCTCTGTGCCTGTGCAGTACTGGCTTCTTCACCTCTTCCTTGGTTGTCTTGGGATGCTGGGCTGGGAGGACTCTTTATTAGGTAGCTCCTTCACTTTGCCAGCAATTTTCTGGAGATAGAGATGGGAGAGCCTGCTACCTTTTTGCACCCCTAGGGTGAGAACCAAGGCATTCTGGCTAGGGCATCTCTCTCAGTTGCTTTGCTTCTTTACTGGGGTTAGTTGGATGGTAAAGAAAATGCTGACTCGCCTTTCTTTGGGTAGAAGAAACAAAGGCCTTCATCCTTCTCTTTCTTCCACTGGGAGACGACTGGAGAGGGTGGACCTTGGTGAGTGCGTAGAGCGGCAGCCAAGACAAACGACGCAGACGACTTGTACTCCTAATCCTCATTGTTACCCGCTAAAGATTTGTTTGCCCTTTGCTCTGGGGAAATCCCACCCACGAGCAAAAAAAATTGGTTTTCAGTCTCGGCCCTGGGCGCAGGGGAAGAGGTGCTTGGCCACTCCGAAGGAGCCGGGTCTCTACTAGTGTGGTCATAGAGCTGCTTGGGCTCCGTTCCATCTCCCACGGGAACAGCTGGGGAGCCGTGAGGGTTCTTTCACGGGGTCACGGTCTGTTTTCCTTCTGGGAACTGCCCTTTGCCCCCTAAAGGTTAAAAGATACATCTAGGTTGCTGTTCTGTGTGTTGCAAACACGACTTAACTCAGACAAGCTCACTGTGCAATTTACGCGTGGCATTAGTCACCTTCCCCACCGCAGAACCCCACTCCCACTCTCCTTTTTCTCTCCCAACCCAAAAAAGGTCACCGCCAGAGAACTGCCGGTGGTTTCCAAAATGCCTATTGGCGTCAGGGGAAACAACAACCCGTTGAATATACATCAGGTGAAAAGGACTCTCGCTGGGCGTAACTTGCCCATCGGATCGCAGAAATAAGGAAAACTGGGCACCCGTTCCATCCCTGGGATATTAGAACACTACTGTTACATTCCCCTTTCGCAGATCCAGACTCTAGAGGGTTAAACCAGGAGACTACAATTCTCTCAACCCCCCCCTTCAGTTCCCCCACTTCCCGCCTTCCCCCCACCTCCCTTACCTTTAAAAAGTTACAAAATGTCTGCAGTCAGTCTAAATCTCTTAAAGGGGCGGCGCTGGTGAACTAGGACTCTTGGCACCAGTCGCTGAAAAGGCTGGCCAGGGGCGTGAGTTTGCTCCACCAGCACCAAAACACTGAAAAAAAAAAAAAGGAAGAGAAAAAAAGGGGGGGGGAAGGCAGACAGACACACACTTTAGATAAGGCCAATTAGTCACCAGCAAGACCCTGTAGAAAGAAGGGGCTCAAATCAGAGGGATTTAATTAGGGAGTTCCGTGCCTGTTCTCCACGCCATGCCCCATACCAGCTCTTGCCCCCCTGCGCTCCTAAGCCCGATGGCACTGTGGCTTGCTCTGATGCTACATCTTTCCCTTTCCTCCCAAGCTGCAGACAGGAGAACTTTTCCTGTAGGCAAGTCTCAAGGTGTGAAGGAAAAGACCCTGATTCTTCTCGATGTGAGCACCAAGAGCCCTGTCAGGACAGTCAATGAAAACTTCCTCTCTCTACAGCTGGATCCTTCCATCATTCATGATGGCTGGCTCGATTTCTTAAGGTAAGGCAGGGGCTTCGATATATCATACTTTTTTTTTTAAACAACCCCCAACCCCTCCCATCCCCCATTCCAAGAGCGGAAAGGAAAAAAAAAGCAGATCTCTCTCAAAGCAAAGATAGAAGGAGGCTTTTCTTCTGGATATCCTGCTCTGGGGCTGTAACTTGTGATTGAGAAAAGCAATGTTTTCTATTAAGATGCACATGTTTGCAATGCAGAAAAGCATTTCAGAAACTTATCAGTTATGACTGAAAAAATGTTGTGCTTACATATATCCACAACAATTAGCCCTCCCCGTCTCCTTTTGAAAAGAAACAAGACCAGGGGGCTAGTTGCAAACTGAAGAAATATCTCTGGCAACAAAGACCTGAGAGGAAGGGGTGTGAGTGTCTGTGTTGTGGACCCGCGCGCGCTTGTGTTTGCACTGTGCAGGGATCGCACGAAAGTGGAATTTTCCACGGAAAGATCGTTTCTCTGATTTTCTCCCACTCCCAGCTGGAGAGCAGAGACTGATCGGCGTACAGAAATGGATTATTATTATTATTATTATTATTATTATTATTTATTATTATTATTATTTTAAACTAAACATGTTCGGTTGTCTCCTCCAGCCCTTAGGGCTGGCAAACAGCTTTTTATATATGGAATGCCCCCCCCTCCCCAGTCCCTCCTCCTCAATTCTCCTGCGGTAACAGTGCATAGTTTTTCTTGAAAGAAAAAAAATCCTCGCCCCGATCTTACAGTATATAAAGGAAGCTTAAAGTAGCCCTAAAATACTTAGGGAATGTTTCTAAGTTTCAATTGGTCGCCGGCGGTTTAGCAAACGAAGGAGCATGGACCAAAGTTTGCCCAGTTGCTCTCCGGGCTATGCCACGGAATTCGCTTTGCATTTTCCCAGTTTTCTTTTTCTTTCTTTCTTTTTTTTAAACTCCCTGGCTCTTGCAATCGCGATCCATCCGCATCAGGAACGAGGAGACGTAGTGTAAAATAAAGCCTCTACGAAGTTGAAAGTAAATGTTGGCTTTAAAAAATTCTTTCCAACACTGAGCCTCAGCTATGGGTAAGTCTTCCTAAAGCCCCGAGTCTCCAGCAGAGAGAGAGAGAGAGGGGGCTCGCCCAGTCCCACTTTTCCTTTCCCGAGGCTGCTATCCGATGCTCTTCTTTCGTGAGTAATTTAACTCATTGGGAAATGCACCTTTTGTTCCCGGCCCCAAGAACCGGCCTTCCTACCTCAGAGGGAGAATCCGCCCGGATCTCCCGGGAGCTGCAGGGGACTGAGACACGTGGAGTATTGCTTCCACGTGGAATGAAACATCCCGGGCGGGATGACCTTTCCAGACAGCAGAGGAGCCGTCTCGATCCTTGTCAACTTCTGTGCTGCCCGGGTGAGGGAAAACAGCGTAGGGCGGCTTGTTCTTTCTTTTGGAAAGCGTGCTCATGTGGCCAAGGAGAGTATCCATGTCGATGCGTGTCTTTTTACGCAGTGCGAATGTATGTATGGCAATAGGCGCGCGTTTCTTGAAATAAACGTGACATGTTTGTGATGGACAGCATGCACTAGCTTGTCTATATATAGTTTCAGAGAAAAAAAATCAAACCAAAACCAACTCTACAGCCATGCTATGCTTTCCATGCTGGCTGCAGAAATGATTTTTATAACGGCCAGTTTTATAGATGTCCGGGGTTTATTTGAGAGTTTGCAATGCCTGTATATGCATTAGAGAAAGATGCCACACAAGAGTATGGCGTTCTTTTCACAGCTTGCTCAGGTGCAGAAATATAATTGTGGAATTTGGAGGTCCTCCTATGCCCTCCCTAACGCCACGTTTCAGTGGCTCCTTTTACCCAGTGACCGTTCTTGCAGCGGGTCACCTCGGCCTTTAAGCCCAGAAATCCCTTCCATTTACTTAACCGTGACCTCCAGAGGGGACTTGATTTATTCTGCCCCACTTTCTAAATTTGGTCCTTTCCCTCTCCAGTCTCATTCCCTTTACATATCTCCCTAGAGTCTCCAGTTAGAATTAGTCTCCCCAGTTCTAAGTCAGGAAAGTGTTAAAAAGTATTTTTTTAAACCAACAAATCCAGAACTGAAAACCCATGCATCATTTTCTCTTATTCTCTATTCCTTCCCTCTCAAATTCTCCCCATGGTAATATCAATTGGCTGTAATGGAATACAAGAGTTATTCGGCTAATTATTTTGGTTGCTTACTTTCTGGAGCTCCCATGCGTTACGTTGCATTCAAAGTTCCATTCTTCTTTAAATGCCGCAGTTGCAAAATTGGCTGCTTACATTTCTCCAAGCAGAAAAGTTCCAAATTCCTAGGTTTAACTTACCGCCCACATACCTGCATGAGCTTTACTCCCTGTTCGCAGGGGGTTTGCAAAAGTTTGTAAAAAGCTCCCAAATGCGGAGAAATGAGGCAGGAAAATAAAGCAGAGACCAAGCCCAGGGTTGCCTTTCCGTAGAGCAGGCTGGGTTTCAGCAGCTAGAGAAACTGCACATTCCCAGGGTAAAAGCATTGCATACTTTTTTTCCTCCAGGAGGCAAGAAGTTCTGGGATCTACCCCAGCAATCTCTCTGCCCCGAGGACTACGGGGTGGATAGGGTTAAAAAAGTCACTGTAGAAGGAAATTCAACTTAAAAAAAAATCGGACGCCACCTGAATTGTGGGCTTGGGAAAGTCTTCAAACAGCGGGGCTGGACTGAGAGGGAGCGAGCAGGTTTACCTGTTGCTAAAGCCTCACTGGGCGGCAGCTGATCGGGAAGCAGAAGCAGAGACGGGCTTCTGCAGCCGGGAGCCGGGCGTCCAGAAGCTTCCACGGGAAAGCGCGCTGGGCTGCCGCCGAGCGGAGTCCCCCTGCGCTGGCGCTACTGCCCCTCACGTTCGTCGCAGCAGCCGAAGTTCCTTCTTTAAACAACAAATAAAATAAAGATACTGCAACCCACCAATATTTTAGATTCCCGTTTTAAAAGAAGCCTCCTTTGTACCTGAGAGTTGAGGTCACAGCCCCAGGGGAACTGGCAACCTTGGGAGCCCAGCAGCGTTAGCGCAGATAATGTTGGACGGCCCCGCTCCGCCTGGCCGAAATCCCGACAAAGTTACGCGGGACTGACTTGCAGGAAGGAGGAAGCGAAGCAGCCGGAGGCCAGCGCTGCGCGGGGAGCAGGAGCGCGCAGAATTCCCACCCTGCATGGTCCCCGGCCTCGGCTCCCGACGTCCCCAGAGGGACTGGAGGGCGCGATGCACTCTGCCCCTGGCGACCCAGGCCTGCTTTTTACTCACCGATTCACTCATTCCTCTTATCTTTCTCTTCTCTTCTCAGCTCTAAGCGGTTGGTGACCCTAGCCCGGGGACTGTCTCCCGCCTTTCTGCGTTTTGGGGGCAAGAGGACAGATTTCCTCCAGTTCCAAAACCTGAGGAACCCAGCGAAAAGTCGCGGGGGCCCTGGCCCTGATTACTATCTCAAGAACTACGAGGATGGTGAGAAACTCGATTCACCTTGATGCTGGGTGCGAGGGAGCAGGCCCGCTAGTGCAGCGGGAAAGGAGATGAAAGCCTGCCAGACAGGCCTAGGGACCTTTTAAAAAATCCCTAAAAAGCCCGTGGCCCCTGGCAAGAAAGGCCCTTGCCTTTGGATACGTTTGCGGGATTTTTTATGGGGCAATAAATAGCCCGTCTGATAACTCTCCTTCCAAGCTGAGCGGTGGCCCCGCTCTATGTTGGAGAAATCTTGGAGGAAGGGAATGGTATCAGGCCTCTCCTGCCTTTGGGGTGGCTTCTGGAGATACTTTCAGGTGCATTGGATAATGCCACCAGAATGTCATCCCATGTTGGCTGGAGGAAAAAAGTGTACAGGGAAAAAATCGGCATCTTTCAGGACCAAAGATCTGCTTTAAGTGTCAGACCTGGGGCCTTAGAAAAAAGAAATTTAGTTTTTCTTTTGATATTTTCTTTTTACCCTTTAGGCTTATCTGTGATGCCTTCCACTATCCCTTTTCTGGCCAGTCTGTTCAGGTCTGGAGATTTATCTTAAAATGCTTCTGCGTTTAAAAAGCATCCTTTCTGCTAGAGAAAGAACTACTAAAACAGCATTATTTCATGTAGACTACATTTCTATTAGCCCTAATTCACAACTTTTCTGTTTACTGGAAGGACAGGCTGACCCTTAACTTCTCTTTCAGGTAGTGCTTTGGGTTCAAGTTGATTTGTCTCCAGGTTAGGTTTGTAGGACAGAGACAGTCTAGATGATGTCCTCTTGTGGGGTGACACTTCTCTTTACCTTTTTAAGGGGGTAAAATGCATTTTTTGTCTTTAAGGAACTTTAAAGTGCCGAGGTTGCAAAGCTCCCCACCCTGTGTTTCTTGCATCTAATTTCCAGGATTTTTCTGGGAAAGAAGTGTGAGGGCTTCTTTTCTTAGGTTTTCTCTTCTTTCCTTTTCATTTTCTTTCTGCTTATGTAGTGTGTGCACTGAATAAGAGATTCCAGGAAAGATGTTTCACTCTTTGATTACACCTAAGGGATATCTAAACATCTAGGGAGGTAGAGAGAAGCCAGTGTTGGTGCAGTTTAGCCTGAGAAGTCTAAATGGCATTTGTGAAAGAACCTTTTCAGGAGTTGTCAAGACTAGAAGGCATGTCCTTGGAATCACAGAATCATAGATATAGAGCAGGAAGGGACCTTAGAATACTTCTGGTCCAAAGAGGCAGAAGCCCAAGGAAAATGGACTTGTCCAAGGTCGTACGAATAGGAAATAGTAGAGCTAGTGTTCATTTTTGTAAAAAACAGATTTTTTATTGATGTCCTTTGTTTTTATACCACCTAAATTTTCCTCTCTGTTTCCCACAAAACCATCCTTTATAAAAAAAAATTAAAAAAAAGAGGAAGAAAACAAATTCGGCAAAACTGATCAATACATCCTAAAAGGCTGAGTTACTTCTGTTCCACGTTCCACATTTGGGGACTCCCATTTCTGCAAGACAGCTGAGTGAGGGTGGCGAGGTATCTTTTAAAATCTCTTCTTTGGGACCAGGCTTGGTCATTATAATTTCAAAACATTCAATATTAGTTGTTTTACTGCTATTCTTTCCATGTACATTGTTGCTACAGTTGTTTCTATTGATTTCTTGGTTACTTTTCTTCACTTTGCATCACTTTGCATAAGTCATTCCACGCTTCTCTGTGCTCTTCATGGGCCATGTTTCTTGCAGTATTGTAATGTTCCTTTGCAATTGGATGCCCCATTTTGTTTAGCTACTCCCCAGTGGATGGGTATTGACTTTGTTTCTAAGAACTGAGATCCTGAGACAGGTCCTCTGCCTCCAAACCATTTTCTTTTTCTTCTACAGTTTGTTTTTTCTCTCTAATATGGATTCTCTGATGTTGAACAAGGCTTCCAAACTGGCTGAAGGCCTTCTCATAAGCATTATGTTTATCTTTAGGGCTAATTGTGTAGGGGAGTGCATTTATTTGTCTGGATCTTTTACAAAGGTGAATGTTATAGTTGTGGGAGAAAAGAAGGGATTCTGCAGGAAGATTTCTCTGTTATACACTGCACAAGAAAAAAAAATAGATTACAATATAATAACAGCTCTGGAGAGGTTTGACAGAGAGGTCTACGGCCTAAAGCCTATTGGTTCATGCTGTTATTGTCAGCATTGTGACAGGAGACTAGAGATGGGATGAATATTAGTGATTCTGCTGATTAAACAGCTCTTTCATGTTCATTTTCCATTAAACATGCTTTCCTCATTGTTTATGGTAAAACTTGCAAGAGTCCCAGGAATCCCAGGGTTGTGGGGAGAATGAAAAAAAAAGGCAAGTATAAGTTTAGGAATTGGCTTTCTTCTGTCAAACTTCTATCCAGGATAGAATTACTGATTCATTGAGAACAATGAGATCTGTTTAAAATGAAGGATGCAATTTGCCTCTTTTGTAAAAGGAGAAAGTGGGCACCCTGGGGAGAGAGGAAATTGGCAGAAGGCCGTGGCCCATAAAACTTCATAGAATCAAAAAAATCAGAGATGGAAAAGATCTGAGAGGTCATCTTCAGTCCACTCACCTCTTCAGGTTCTGGTGTTGGTACCGTAGCATTCCATCTGGGATCCTCTCTATTGCTTTGTCCAGTCTGGTATTAAATGTCTCCAGAAATGGGATTTTTACCATTCCTCCTGAGGAAGACAGTTCTCCTGTCCCAAAGGTTATTGCCAGCAAATTTTTCTTGAGGTTCAGCTTTCCTTTTTTCTAGCTGCCACCAGCTACCTAGTTCCCTTTGCCTTTTCTGGGTTCCTACCCTATCATCTGTTGTCTGTGTCTTAGCTTTTAAAAATAATGCTCTCCCATAGCTGTTTTTTATTCAAGCTACCTGGATCTAATTCTTTGAAAACTTTCTTTAAAGTCAGTCCTTCCAGACACTAATCGAGTTTATTGCTCGTAGCCAAACCCTTTCTGATTTATGTATCTCTGGTAATAAGATGCTTTGAACTGTATCAGTATTTGAGGTCCCAGCAGAGTTAAAGAGACTGCCCTTTGATGCATAAACATCTCTAAAGTATCTCTCTTGTTTTTGTGGCTTTGTGTTATATTCCCAATTTCAAGCTAATGAGCTTTCAGCAAAGACCTTTTACAAATTGAGTAAATCTCCAGGGGCCTCCATCCTATCATTACTATTCTTAGAAGATAAATGAACCTACTGGGTGAATGGTACTGAACTAGGCACTTGTGTGTAACGATAACTGACAACATAATTCTATAAGGTTTGCAAAGTACTTTATATCCAATATCTCATTTGATCCTCACAACAGCTTTTCTAGAAGAATGGTACAGATTATGTCTTCATTTATTAGATGAGAAAATTAAGTCCCAGAGAGATTAATTTTGAGCCTATTTAAATCAAAACTAGGCTAGCAGGATGAATTGAAGTCAGAAGGTTTTCCTATAACATGACACTTTTGTTAAGGCCAGATGATAGCTAATATTTTTATGTATACACTTAAAGGTTTTTCATTTTGCTTTTTTTCAGTAAAATGCCATTTTCCTTTTCTCCCCCCTCCCCCATTGAGGTGTTTGTGTTTGTGTGTGTGAGTGATATTTTGTAAAAGGAATTTTACAAAGAAAGAAAAAGAAATTTGGAGCATTGAGAAGATCGTAAGAATTTAGAGAGAGTAATAGTCAAGAAAGGATAGGAGCAGATCACAACTGCTTTCTTTAGTTGTAATGCAGATGAGGCCCATTATGTGGGCCATTAAATCCCTTGATGATGGATTTTGCTGGTAACTTCATTTATATTTCTGACCCTGTTTAGTTCCTTAGTATTATTTGTTTCCCATGACATACATCATTAATAAAAGCAAGTTATATGCCCCATAGTTTCAGTTTTCATAAAATAATTTATGAGCACATTAAGACACCTGCCTCAGTACAAGTCTATACAACTGTTTATGGAAATACTCCTTTTGGAAAGTTTCCTGATTATGCTTTCAGTGATAATACATCTTGTCAGTCAGTCACTATTTATTAAGTGCCTACTATGTGCCAGGCACTGTGCTAAGTGCTGGGGATGCCAAAGAAAGACAAAGGACAGCCCAAGCTCTCAAGGATCTCACTGTCTAGTGGAGGACGCAACATGTAAACAACAAGCTAGAGACAGGATAAATGGGAGAGAATCAAAAGAGGGAAAGTACTAGCATTAAGGGAACTAAGGAAAGATTTCTTGTAGAAGATGGGGAATCCTCTAATCAGAGAATTTGAAAGTGGACTGCACTTTGAAAATAGGTAAGGTAGCCTAGTCTCTTCATTTTACCAGTGAGGAAATGGTTTTGAAAGGGATGCAAATATCATAAAGATGAATAACATAATTTATAATTCGAAACTCCCCCCCCCACCAATAACCTCTTTTGGTCAATTTATCTTTCTTGTAAACTGAATGCTTTGTTTGACTTATGCCCAACAACAAAACTTTGGGTTGATTTTTTAAAGTTTCATCTAAACTTTCTAAACTGTATCTTATCTGCTTCTTCAGTTCTTTCTGTTTTTCTTCTTTATAATAAAATCTTTAATGTACACATCTTGAACTCACCCCCACTTCAAATTCATCTTCCTAAAATGTTATTCCTCTGCTCAAATGCTTCTTTCTACTTATACAAAATAATTCAGTTCAATTCAGCAAACATTTATTAAGCACCTACCGTATGCACCAAGGAGCTTACATTCTACTGGAAGTTACAGGTCCTCAGCTTGTTCTTTAAGGCCTTCCACATGCTGCCCAGAATCTGCTTTTCCAGACTTTATCCTCCTTTCCCCTACTACCTCTCATCACAACTCCTCCATTCTAGCCAGACTACTAACTTATGTCCCTTGGTCATGCCTCACTTATGTTCCCTTAGGATCAGAGAATCATTAACCTAGAGCTTAGAACAGGTTGTTTCTAGACTAGTCATCTAGTATCCAGCTGCCTTATTTTACAAAAGAAACTAAATCCCAG